AATGACATGGAATGAGATGCAGGTGAAGTGAAATGAAATATAAGAGTGAATGAGATAAATAAACTAATTTTTAGTTGGGATGGGACGGGATACTATGATTGGGAAGGGATGGGATAGGAAAGGATAGGATAGGAGGGTGTACTGATCAAACTCCGGCCTGTCTAGATCCTCATATTATTGCGTTCTAACAATATTTTTTTCCCTTCAGACAAAGACGAGTGCAAAACAATGTGTAATGGAAAACTGGCAAAATGCACCAATACGGTTGGCTATTATAAATGTGAATGCCCTGAAGGATATAGACTTCATAATTGGAAAGACTGCGAAGGTACAGGGAGCTTTACTAGAGAAAACAAAATGTTTTGCTGTTGTTGCTGTTGTTGTTAATCTTCTTTGCACATGGAATCAATTGACAAGCATAGCCCATTGAGTAAAGAGAGAGAGAGACGACGTGGCTTTTACGTTGAGTACTGCAGAAATATATCTTTAAAATATATGCGCACTTAAGTTACAAATTAGAAAGCTTTACATTATGAAAAGCACTGCTTTATAGCAACTCAACCATTAACATCAGATGAAGGTGCGGACACACGATGCGATGTTGCATGCGACGTCCAAGAAGCCTACTTAATTTTGCAACTTTACATACCACAGGTACAACGTCCCATAATCATGCAACATCGCACCGTGTGACACCCAAAAGCAGGCTTTTTCTGCAACGTTGCATGCGATGTCGCAACTTGTGTCCGCACACCCTTAGGCTCTTGCTTTTTGTTTCAGACGTTAACGAATGCCTCTACTCAAACGTATGCAAGGAGTACTGCTTTAACACTCAGGGCTCATACAAATGCGGGTGCCGTAGCGGATACAAGGTCGTAAATGGGACAAAGTGCGCTGGTACGTGTAGAAGAATTACAATTAATTTCTAATTTAGTACCGATCGAATATTAAATACGTAGATAAAGAGTTTTGTCCATACTTAATAATCAGGCAATGAAAGTATTTTTCAATGACGTTCAATTCACAAATACGTACATTCAGAGAATTCATGTTAAACTGGGTACGACGAATAATGATAATTAGGATATTCTGACAAAGTACGACATAACAAGGTGCATGTTTCAGTTTTTCACTCAAAGGGGAATAGGTCGAATCTTTTGCGATTATCTGGAGAAATTACAAATACTGATAGTACATACCGCATTCAAGTTAATATAGTGCAATAAACCAGAAGTACAATAACAAAAAGATATCATTATGGCACTGCGGTAGAGTTCACCTTCAGTGCACCGTGACTATGAATTTGAAATAAAAAAGTTTCATATTTAGCGAGTAAGACAAAATTTAACTAGCTAAGTTTTGCAAGTATGACCATTGTCCAGAAATTGAAGGACTGAGAAGTTCAGAACCCGCATCAAGTAACGTTTGTTATTTGCCGAAATCGATCGCTAGTGACTTTTAAAATTTTGCAAGTAAGAACAAAACTTACTAGCAAGGTTTTGCTAGTGGGGTTAAAAGTTAATTTCGCGCCCTGCCCTGTAATTATAGCCTAGAATGATTTGTTGTTGTTGTTGAGTACATTGGGCATAGTAATGCAAGCAAGATGGCGGCATTGCTAGGAGCCCCGCCATAAAGTCACCATACACACATAGAAACAAATAATGAAACGCGTTAGTAAATATGGTCACTTTCTTTGCTGTGAAAGATATCGACGAGTGTCAAGAAGGAAGCCACAATTGTGACAGTGAGTCGACTTACTGTAGCAACGTCGTAGGAGGATTCTACTGCTAYTGTAATCCTGGCTATCAACGCGTCAACAGAACTCATTGTGAAGGTGTGTGGTTACGCCCAAGAAAGATGCGCTCTCGGCTGTCCGTTGCAAAGTCAGTCAGGACAAATGAGCGCGCAGTTTCTGGGACYAAAAAAAGATCATATTTTTAGTACCAAGTCATAACGTTAAAATGTACGCATAAACTAGTCTCTTATATTTTCCAATCTTATTGCCCCTTAAACATACTAGTCTGATTTCTATCGAGTAAACAGAAAAAAAAAACTGGACTTGCTTTCGTATAGTCTCCCCCGCAGTTGTTCTTAGTGTCATCTTAGTGTCACACAACGCTCCCTCCCCACTTGCGTGACGACACTAACATCGAGCGGCTGTGGGGGACACTAGCTTTCATACGCACCATTTTTTTCTCGATCGTCGGGGGTATTGAACAATATGATCGCATGTAAGCTTATTAGTTCAGTGTATTCAGTTTACACGTCAATAATGTACAACCTTAGTATTTTCATTGGTTTAGTTCATTACTGCGGAGGTTTGTCTCATTACTCAAACAAGAAAACAAAACTCGTCCCTTCGCGTTGCTCGATGGAAAAAGCAAACCGATTCAAGGATAGCTGTACTATGGTCTGTAAGTATGGCTACGAAATGAGGGATCCTACTCAGATTACGGTCACCTGTGGAGACCATGGACTTTGGAAAGGAGGCTTTAGTTATTGTAGAGGTAAGGTATCTTGTATGATTGCTGGTAATGGTTTCACATTTACCATTAAACCAGAGTCGCGTTGAATGAATCTTTTTTACTTCTCTTCTCCCTTCCTTGCTCCTCTCACTCAAGCGTGTTCTGTGCTATTCTCCAGAGTTGCGCTTAATGAATCCTTTTTACTTCTCCGTCTTCCCCCTTCCTTTAAATTTCTTCTCCCACTGAAGCGTGGTCTGTGCTCTTCCCCTTATGGAGAGCAGAGAGCAGAGAGCAGAGAGCAGAGAGCACCAGATAAAAAAATGTCATTCCATTTTAGGAGTCAAGTGCCCTCCAGTATCGTCTCCTCCAAATGCAACTACTTACCCATCTAGTTGCTTAACTGAGGGTGGTCGCCATGACTCCGGCAGTAATTGTTACCAATACTGTGACAGTGGATATCAAAAGATAAGCGGAGGAACCCTGGTATGTCAAGCCAATGGGACGTGGTCTGGCTCTCCAGCAAAGTGCAAAAAGGTTTATCCTGGTAAGAAACTCATTATCTTCATATCATCTTTCGTTTATTCAGAGCTTCCATCTTTCTTTTTGATTCCTCAGCTCCTCAGATCACGTGCCCTTCATGGATCGATGTCATTCTTCCGCCGGGGAAGAACACCACTTCTCTTGGATCCAAATGGAAACTACCCACGTCTAATGTAAACAATCTCACCGTCTCCCCTTCTTGGGCAAACCAGTTCTCTCAATTCCCTTATGGCAGAACTCGAATCACATGGACAGCAACAAACCCGGAAGGCTTAACTGATACCTGCATTCTTTATGTTGAAGTTAAAGGTAAGTGTAGATGCAAGGCATCATTACTCATGTCCTCATGTCTACTCAGTCTTGTGTATATTCAGTCTTATATTATCGAGTAGTTTTTTTCCATTTGAGTACTTGACTTTTTATAGGTATGTAGCTTCTTTTCTTGTTTGCTTGCTTGGAGATTTTGTAACTGGGTTGTTGCACATAAATAAGAAAAGTCCTTTCCTCCTTCCTTCCGTGACCCATCGTATTTCTTATCAAAACATGCAACCTGGTTCTTGTTGCAACAATTTAATTTGACCTGCAATTGAACGAGAAGTCACGGGTTCTCCCGAATTCAGCCTGAGGCTTGGATTGTTATCCAAGAAAAATAGCCAGTCAGACAGTCAGACAGAACGAGAAGTCACGGGTTCTCCCGAATTCAGCCTGAGGCTTGGATTGTTATCCAAGAAAAATAGCTTGATGACAAACTGACAACTATAAATCCTAATGTACTGGAAATACTTTATCTTTCTTTTAAATTTTGCTGCCATTATATTTCTTCTGATAGACGAAGAGCCTCCCAAAGTGACCTTCTGCCCTGGACCAACGATCTTCCAAGCAGCCTACACACCCAAGGTCTTTGTCAAATATAAAAGACCTACGTTTACAGATAATGTTGGAGTAGCAAGTGTGACTCCAGAATACAAGGGAGGGCTTGAGGTTGCACGTGGACCGCGATACAATCAGTATTACACTGCATCAGACAAGGCAGGAAACAGGGTGTCTTGCAAGTTTGAAATAATYGCAGGAGGTAAGTGAATTTCAATAGACCAATCCC